TTTGCAGGGTCAACAGCAACCAAGTTGCCTACCCTCCCGCCGTGGCCTACCCTCTCGCCGTGGCCATGGAACATCATGGAACCCACCAGAGGGTCTCGTAAGGAGAATCCGTTTTTGGACCCCGAAACGTCAGAGTAGCTACGTGAGTGGACAGGAGAGCACTTGTTACATTGTTGCAAAGAGATGTCGGTGGCCATGTTTGAGGAACTTGTTGTGCAAATCGGAAGGCATTCCTTTGCAAGGACCTCGCGGCCGAATCCAGAGGGCTGAACATGCAATCCCCGATTCCTGCTCAGTCTGTAAAGCTGTTGTCACTTTCAATGACCCTGCAAATGGGCGCCTTTTTTGAGGCTACCTGTTTTGGAGTGCTTCTTTTAGAGGGGAGCCTACCATTTTGGGGAACCCCTGAAGAAAACACACACACACAGATGGTTTATGGCCGGACCCCAAAGTCCAAAGTCAGCCCTCTACATGAAACCAACCACACTTGTTTGGCCGCTTGAGCGATCCAGCACTACCAATCACTTGAATGGTCCCAGTTTCGGACTTGGAAGCTACCCAACATTCCTACAGCTGTAAGGCTGCTGATTGCCCCTTGAAACACCGCCGTCCCGGGCTCTCGGTACTTCCCCTCTCACTGCGATGGTGCAGCGTCAATATACGGGACCGTACCTTCTGGTCCTGGTCCTGGTCCCCCCCCACCGATGTCCATTAAGGACAACAGCGAAAAATGTTGTCTATGGCTCATCATCCGCAGTATTTTTTGGTGGTTGGCTCGGAAGTTGGTCTTTCAGACATGCCATTTTAACTGCATGCATGCTCTTCGTTGGGTTCCCGACTGAAGGCAAGCCTTCACCGCAATGAGCGTGCTCTCATTTTGGGTGCAGGGCTCGGCCAACTTGACCTCCTGCTTAGAAAAATCAAGCTAGACCCTGAAACATTGTAGAACTTGGCACATGCCTTCTTTTAATGAGGCTTTTTGGGGAACTTTCCTTGGCCGCAGAAGCTGTTGGACCCCCAACAGTTGCAGAACCCCTATTTTTCGGTCCACTTGTTTTTCGTTTTGCGGGTTTGGGAATCCGAACTCGCGCCAGAGCGCGCCATAGCTGCCACCGGCTCTTCCACGGGCTGTGGGCGAGGTACTTCTTGGCGGATCGGGTGGTGGAGATGACGGTGGAGATGTTCCGTGAGCCGCGGAAGATGGTCCAGGAGATCAGCGGATTGGGCTTGAGACACGCCGGGGGCCCCGGATGGTGGTGGGGTTGCAGTCCCGGAATTGGTCCCGGGAGGGTTTGGCGGTTGGATGCGGCAGGAGGGGTAAGTGGATGTAAACGGGCTCAGGTGAAGAGCCCGTGTTCACTGGCTCCGTGGAGGGGGCGGGGTGCTGTTTTAGGTCCGTGTTTGGGGAAGACTGGGATTGAGGACCCGCCGAGGGTGGGGGGATGCAGGAAAATTGCTCTTTCGAGCAGCAAGGCAGCCATAATTCTGGGTTGACACTTTCCAAGAACAGACAGTCCAGCTTCATGGGTGGCAGGAGTCCGTGTTTGGTTCGGGCTTTGTTGGGGCCTTGTGCCTTTGCCAACCTGCTTGGACTTGCGACGCGGGGCGTAAGTGAAGGACCTGCCGTTTGGTAGGGCGTTCTCACAATTACCTCCCCCCAATATGAAGAAACCAATGGGGACTGTGAGGGAGCAGGATGTGGCTGATGTTTTGGACCCTCACCTGTTTGATGTCTTGATTTTTTGATGTTTGATGTTTTGAGGGAGCAGGATGATTGCAGAATGAGAATTGGGCCCACAATTGGAATTGCTATGCCGCTATGCCTCACAAAGTGGGCCCAAAAGTGGATGCAACGGCAGAGAGAGAGAGAGAGAGCAGAGTGCAAGGTTGACTATGGGGAGGTCACGTTGGGGAACCCACAAAATGGCTTTCAGATCTTTCCGAATTTTGTTTAAACAAAAAAAAAAACAAGTCCCCTGGAAAGAACCAACAAATACAGGTACCCTCAAAAGACGCACCCTGGAATCTGTAAGTCCGCGAAGCCATTGGTCTGTAGGACTCCTGCATGCCAGTTTAAAACGGACCGTCCTGAAATGGCCAAGGGGCTTTGACCCTTTGGCAAGTGTTTCTTAGTGGACTCATCTCGGCGTCTTCACCCTCAAGCATGGTTGCTGGACACAAACATCTGTAAATGATGTCCACTAAAATGTGCCCATCCATGTTGCACTTGGCAGCATGTCCCCGAAGCGTTTGACTGCAGGGGCCCGTCCCTGAGTTTCCTTTGACCTAAGGCGGCATTTGGAACCCTGTCAGGGCACTTTTCAGGACTTGGTTTTGGAGTTGTGGAGTCGTACACGGTGCTTTTTTGTTTTTGTTTTTTGTTTCTGCGTTACAAGCAAAAAATGGTGGCATTAAACGAACCGCACCTCCAAAGGACCAGAGGACATGCTTGATGGACCTTCCCGCCCCCCCGCCCCCCCGCCCCCCCCCCCACACCCCCCCACACCCCCCCACACCCCCCCACACCCCCCCACTCCCCCCACACCCCCCCCACGCCCCCCCCCACACCCCCCAAACCCCCCCAACCCCCTCGAACCACTGGTAGGTGGGCTGGGGCATTCCCCCAGAGCTCTTCGGGCCCTACACCTCTGGCGCGGTGGAGACGGTACGGTCCATGCCCCTTGCCGCGACCCTTTTGGTCGGTGGTGTTCCCATTTGACTGCGTCCTTGGTTTGAGGGCAACCTCTGTTGGTTTTTTGTGTGTTTGTTTTTGGTGTGTGTGTGTTTTGGTGGCTTTTTTTTGTTGTGTGTGTTTTTTGTGTGTGTGCCTTTTCTTTGAGTTGGTAGCTTATTTTGAGACAAACCAATTGGGTGCTAAACTCAGGGAATTTCTTGGAGCCCCAATTGCCACCAGACAACTGCCATGGACAGTTCTGCGTGAAGGTGTTTTGCAGTCGGTTTGGATGGGTGGTTTGGGGCCTTGAAACGTGGCTCTTGCAGAGCGTAAATGTGAAACCACCCCGGAAACCTGCAAACAGCCAATCTTGAGGGAATGACATCCTGGATAAGCCATCTCTCGTGGTTTCCTTTCACGGAACTGGGTTCATTCCCTTACTCCCTGCCTATCGCACCAGCATTGAAACCACCCCAAAGTCGCTTCGGGGCCCGGATCGATTGAGTGACTCACAGGGTTCGGATCACTCTGCCCTTTGGACCAGTTTTTCAACAGGCCCCTTCTATACACCTAAGTCAGCTTTATGAAGAGGCCCCTTTGAAACGGCTGGATTTGTTGTTTTGTTTTTAACTTGTATCCTTTAAGGAACCTTAGAGCTTTGTTTGTGTGAGGTGATGTCTCGAGAGGAATAGGGAAGCCTGTTGAGTTCAAGATTGAGGGTTGCTCCCAGCCTTCAAAGATGAAACCACAAAAGGGGTCCCTGGGTTGGGTTCCCAATTGGGTATGGGTCATTTTTTAAACCACCAGGGGACCGCAGGTTTTAGCCCGTGGATTACCAGGGTTCCATTTCGGGTACGTGTTTTTGACCCACATCCAACTGTTTTCTTGGGTTGTTCAACCTGGTTCTTGAGTTTGGTTCTGCGGTTCCTTTTGCATTCGCCATCCTGGACCATTTCCTCGCAACTTGAGCGGGCCCCTTGACAGAAGCAAACGTTAGCCTTGAATCGCGCGCCTTCCATCCGCCTTCGCGCATGAAAAAGCAGATCGCATTGCGGGGTCAGCACACAAAACCATCAACTTGGGTTTTGGCCGCCCACCTTTGTTTTTATTTGTACATTGAAAGGTTATATGGGCCTGAATCAAGAAGATTACGTTGAGTTGGCTGCGAACGGGAAGCATAGGGAACCCTATGCAATCCCCTCCATTTGTTCAGCGGCAACCTCTAAATCCCATTTTCAAAAGAAATTGGCTTCCTTTTCCCGGTTGCTAAGCAACTAGGAGGGGGTTGAACTTTGATGTAGCTGTTTCAAGTTGCTTGCTTTGACCTCGACCCAGCTCCTGAAATACTTAAGCAACCCAAAGCAATTTGCCTTTTCCCTTTCTTCGACGTGTCTCACCAAGTTGTCTTTTTTCCGACAAAGACGATTTTCCTACAGAAAATGGCTTCTCACCAAAGAGACGCTTTCCCTTCCAACAAGAGCTGGTTTCCTTCCCCAGCGTTCGGGACACTCGCGCGGGCGAGCAATCGATTTGCTGAGGACCACGGATGACAATACCCAAGCGGCCTTCCGATTCTCGCTCTCGCTGATCGCAAAGATCTTGGCGCCTGGGATCTGATGTCAGCTCGGGCCAGCGGATTTTTGGGGCCCCTCCCCTCCCCCCAACGTGGCCTCGTGGGTTTGTTTTTGGAGCCGCGTATAAACGAGACTTAAAGAAAGACGGCCATTTGGGTGTGTCTTTTTTTTCAACCGGGGAGTCCCCAAAAGTGGCGGGTGGTCCTTTTGGTTTCCCTAAACAAAATACCAAAATCCTTCATACGACACCTTCTACAACACCTTCCAGATCCGGATCGCGAGTGAAGCAGCACACGTAACAGCCCCCTGATTTCTTGTTTCTGGCCGCGGTTGCAAGGCCCGTCGTTCGGGCTTTCTTGCATTCGAGCTTACTTGGCCTTATTGGCTCCTTGTGTCATGCATTGTATCTGGTCTTACTTGGCATATGGTTGGTGGATGACATCATTTGCGCTTGCCTGGCCTCTTCAGCATTCAGCCTTCGTTGTGTTGTTTGCCGGTTCCTGGGGGCCATTTCTCCACAAGCGGATTTTGCCTGCATGATTGCCAGGTTGTTCCCTCCTCGAGGGTTTGCTCCCCGGACTTCGGTGTGGCCGGAGAATCCCGCACAAGCTAACATGGGTTCCGAAAAGAAGGGCCCCAACCAGAGTTTCCGTTTCGACGCATTGTGGATTTGTTTGGGCTCCATGGTCCATGTTGCATCTGCAGATCTGCAGGGCGGCTGAGTTCCTTGGATTTTTCCGCGAAAGCAAACAGGGAGCCCTATGTCTTGCAGGCAGCCCAGAGAGCAGAAGTCAGAGACGCCTAAGGTGCGGGCTGTGTCCGAGGGATCCACGCTGGTGATGAGGGCCATCAATACCAACGCCGTGCCTGGTGATGCACTTACACCCGTACAGAACATGGAACGTAGAAACCGACCGTGTCTAGAGGGATCCCTGTTTTGGTGTTCCATGCTAATATGTAGAGGACTACATGGGTATGTGGGTCTGTCTCTTGGTCAGGGGTCGCCAAACAAATAAGTTATCTCTTTTTGAGGGACCCATGTCTCAGCAACCCAATACATAGTAATGGTTCTTTTGGTTTTGCTTGCAATCAACCCGATTTCAGGGAAACCTCCACAAAACCCCCCCACGTTGAGCCATGCTTGCCATCCTCCAAGCCTCAGTGAGGCTTGTCAAGCTTTTGGAGTCGCGCAGTATCCTGAAACATCCTGAGATTTTCAACCCACGGCCACTGAACGTTGGATCAAGCCAGCTCGATTTCCCATCACCGGGCCCAAGACGAAACCGGCCGCAAACGCCAGGGCATCGATGCTTCTGTTCTTCGGATCCCTAGGGGACTCCTTTCAATTCAGCCAAGAACTCGGTACCCTGTTTCCACCCCACCCACCCCGCCCCCACCCTAAAACACCCGGACTCTGTCCTATCGCCCCAGCGGCTCATACCCAGTTGCCCAGTGGTGGCCTTTTTTCCCATGTTTTCCAAGGAGGGGTTCCGATCCCTTGAAAGTCCACTAACCAAAGGGATGCCTCCTCCTTCTTCCCCGTGGAAACCCGCTCCAGCAGAGTTCTTGCCGAAACTTCCATTTGCTTAAGAGCATGTTGTATTTTCCCATGTCGGTTTTAAAAGGACTTTATCACTACTGGACTTTTTTTTCCGGGAGTCTGAACCAAATGAAAATAGCAAACAGAGGGGTTCCCTTGAAAGTCAACCACTGGGCCTCCAGCCGAATTCTCGCCTAAAAAACACGGTTCCCCTTAAAAGTCAACCAAAGGGATGCATCCGTTTTTCTTTCTTTTTCTCGCATGGAGATCCACTGGGCCACTACAGCGGCCCAGAAAAAAGAAGAAACAAATCTCCGAGGAGAGCGCCATGAAGAAGGCCATCGCCATCGCCCCCCGGGGCAAGCGCGCCATGGAGCTCCTGAACATCTCCGTAGGCCGGGGGAGGGGGGCGAAGCGGCGGGGGGGGGGCGAAGGGGAAGCGGGGGCGGCGTGGGTTCGTTCGTTCCTCGTCTTTTTAAGGGTGTGGCTCAAAATGAATTTGAGCTAGGGTTACGCGATTGTAGTCTTTGTTTCCATTTGCCAGGGTTCCATTTTGGGTGCATATGTTTGACCCACAGCCTTTTGGGGTGCAACTCGCGAAATATTGGCGGGCTTTTTGCCAATCAAACCTGCCCGGGGAAAAAAAACAACACCCTGCCAAAACAGGAGTAGAGCCTGAAACAAAATGGCATGCACATGGGGTAATAACAGGGTCTGGGGTTTGGGCTAGGGTGGTATCTACGCTGATCTGATCTCGATTTCCGATGATTCCCCACTAAACCCAAGGACACCCCCTATTAACAAGCTGGGGTTGATTAATATGGGGTCAACATGAGTTGTTTTCCAGCTTCCCTGTACTTATTTGATTGGGTTCGGTCGTTTCGAGGTTAGGGAGTCGCTTCCCATCAATAAGCACCGAGGGTTCAACTCCCCAAGCCAAAATCCAAACCGCAGGGGGGGGGGGGGCTGAGTTTTCTTGCTGGTCAGCAGGGAATGAGGAATGGAATGACCCGCAACCACCAAATTTGGTGGTTTCCTAGAAAATCCCCCCGAAAACGGTTCGGCCCAGTTCTCATTCCCAATCGCACCGATCGCAAGTTTTTGCTACCGCTCTTCTTTTTTTTTGATTTCTTTCCGGAGAGTTGCCTAGATCCCCCAGTAGTGCCTTTTTTACATTTTTTTTTGGGCGCTGAGAGATGCTGAGAGGAATGAGGAATGGACTGACTCCCAACCATCGATTTGGCGGTTTTCCTAGGGAATCCCCCAAAACGGTTCATTCCATTTCTCATACCCTACCTATGAAAACCAGCCAGTTTTTGCGACCGATGTTTTGTCCTGAGAGTTGCCCTGCCTGAGGCACTCAGTCCATCTCTCCCCTCTTCTGGTCCATCGAGAGCGGAAGCCTCAACAGCGCCCGCGCCATGATCGTGGACCTCTTGACCATCCGCGCGGACCGGGACGTCTACTACTATGGCTGCGCGCTTCGCTGGAAGAAAGGAATGCGCTTGAAGAAAGTGTGGTCTGACCCGTTTGCTGAACCTCCCCCTGGGTTTCCCTTTTTAATGGGTAGCTTGAGGATCCAGTGTCATTTGCTCCTTAAATGCGGCCTTGGGTGTTATCCTTTGTCAGACATGTAGGCAACACGTGCACGACCACACGCATGGGGAGGGTTTGAAGGCCGAAAACGCTGAGCCGTGCACCGTGTGGCCGATCCCTTTGAGCTCGGCTCGCGGGGTCGTTCGCGTTTACGCCCCCGGGGAATTTTGGTCGAAAGTCACATCTCCTGGGGATGTCACCAGGGCCAAATCTAGCTCCAGGCTTTCTCCCGAGACTCTCAGCGTCACAGATTCCAACAAGTGCTTGTGGACTTGTCGACTTCTTGGGGGACCCCAGAAATGGGTGGTTTCTCTTTTTCGTTTTCAACCTTTGGAATTTCTACCCCAACACCAACAAAAAGGGAGCGAGCCCTCAAAATCGGATGAGGAGTTGTGGAATCGAATTGTTAGATCCCGTGGCAGAGTACTCGTTTTAACAGCCCGCGACCCCCTATCATTCCGAGCGGCGCAAGCTAGGTGCTTTGCATAGATGTGTGCCCTCAAACATTTTCAGCCACTAGCTGCGTGTAGATGTGTCGAGGCCGGTGTGTTCATGCAAGCAAGAGACGACCATGTCTTCATTTCCCCATCCCAGTGTGTTAGACATTTTTGACTTCCAGCGCAAGCTCCAGACTGAAACAAGCAGCAAGGTCCATGCTTCCCGTGAGTTCCTCAATGCTCTAAGTTCAAGCTGTTCGTTTCTTGGGCGAGCACTTCTTGGAATTGCGCCCAACAACGCACACACAACATGTTGACAGAGATGGAAGAACAAGGCTTTTTAGGCGATTGGTTTCCTCAAAAACTGTCCAGGGAAACTGGGGCGGTATGTGGGAGCTTCACAGGTTGGATGCAAGCCCCCTTATAAAATGTAAAGCCACCAGGAACCCGCGGTTTTAAATCTTTTAAGCGGGCCCTGATTTGAGAAACGCCGACGTAGCTCGTAGCTCTTAGATTCGGGTGGGACAGATACCTTGCCAGCTGCCTAGGATGCGATGTTTACGCGACATCCTGACATCATCCTGCGGCTGTGCAATGATGCCTCCACCTTGCTTTGGACGTTGTCTTGGCCTCAGCTCCCCTGCATGGCGCCATGGAATTTGGATGGGACACACCCTGAACAACTCACTCCCTGGGTTCCTGCATTTTTTCATGGTTTGAAGGGCTCTTTTAGTGGCAGTCTAAAAGTCTGGATTTGTTTGCCAATCCACTCACAAAGTGAGAAGATCGCATCACGAACTCAGACCTCCAATTTCACACTGCGCTCCTGGTTAAACTATCATGTGAATCATGTGGGAAAAACGTCAGGCCACACTTTCGAGCGAAGCCTAGGTCACGATGATTTTTCTTTGTTGACGCAATAGCGGCTTACCCTCCAACCCACGTTAAGGAACATGACGAAAAGGCCCTGGAAGAAGATAGTCCCGAGTCTCAGCTGTAACTTCTAGCTCCCAGAAGTTCCAACATGGGAGGGAGGGTTGGGGCCGCGAAAAGCTGCCAGAAGATTGGCGTTGCGCAACGAATCAAAGACCTTCGACCTGTTCACCCATGGTTGGCCATTGGGCTCCAAATTCCGTCTATTCAACAAATGGGTTGGCGACATGTCGTGTTTCTCATGGCTTCCTAAAACGTTGGTGTCATTTGGGGGCTTCCCTTTGACTACCAACTGGGGGGGGTCCACCATTTGCAGCAAGACCCACATCCGAAACCCCCAAGCCAAGAATCAGCAGCTCGGGCGGACTTAGGTTTGACGGCTTGGTGTGGCGATCCCGCCTCGTGCAAGATGGGCAACGCCGGGTGAACTACTACATCAAGCTCCTCAGCTCCCAAGGGGGGGGGACCTTGCTGGAGACTTGGGAAGCATGCATGGCCCAAAAGGTGCCGTGCCCCCAAGAAAGGTCCAAAGGCCTCTGGCCAAGTGGGGCTGCTCACTTTTCCAGTTTTGTTTCGCGTTGGGTAGAAATGGTCATGTTTGGTAGAGGCCTGAATTGTTGGCACTTTCTTTGGCCAGTAGACTCATGTAAGCAAGTGAGGCGTTTTATTGTGAGGGTATCCCTTGCTTTCTGCTTGCTTGCTGGTGGGAAAGCGGCTTGAAACGTCTATTGTACTTCAGTATTTTTGCCAATGAGTTTTGCGGTTGCTTGGTAATTTCTGGGATTCTATTTAGTGGCAACCAAGTGCGAATTGTTTGGCAGCCAACAAAAGGATGTGAGCAAGGGGGGTTGCCTTATTCTGAGGCTTCTGCATGTCTCGTTACTTGTCTTATTTTCGGAGAGGGTGCCTTGAATTGAACCGGCAGATCGGATTTTTCCTCATGGCCACTGGTAAGCAGGTGTTTGTTTTGCTTGCAGTGGGCCCCGTGTGGAGACCTGTTGCAAACAAACAGGCCGGCAAGAAGTACGGGTTGCGGCTTCTGAAAAATACACAGCCCCAGATTGATACCCAGTTAAACGTGTTTCAAGTTTTAGAAGCACCATCGCAGTCTTCTGCAAGGTGGTTGCCCTTGCAAACCTAGTACTTTTGAGCATGCCGCTTTCATGGACACAAGCACCTACCTGTCAACCCCTCCCTGACCCCCCTTACCCCTCCCCACCCCCTTCACCCCACTTCCCCCCTCAACCCCCCTCAACCCCCCTCAACCCCCCTCAACCCCCCTCAACCCCCCTCAACCCCTCCTCAACTCCCCCCCCCCCACCTGCTCTTCTTGCACGTCTCAGGCACTTGGTGCAGGACTTGGATGGGAACTTCAGCCCCGCGCTCAAGTGGCTGGCTCACCACAAGGCGAGACGAGCTGAAAAAGGCATCCAGGTGCTTAGATGTGGGTACAACTCACTCAGGAACAGAGAAAAGGGGAAGCTGATGTTGAGGTGGACCACAGGAAACTCAAGCAGGTTTAAGTCGCTGAGACAACCGATGGTCCCGGTTGAAGACCATTTATTGTCTCAAGCAACCAAGCGACACAGTATAAGACTTCGCCCAAGTTCGTTCGGAAGGAGCCTTTGGAAATCATGCAGCTCAGGATCGCAGCATTTTTTGTTGATAATGTTAGACCCGCAATTGGAATTAGGCCCTCTATGGTCGCATTTGTTTTTCGCAATTCACGATCCTGTCACTGTTGTGGGGTCCTCTATTGTGGCAATGTTGTTTGCCGGAAAAATGCCGGAAACAATCTGGGGCAAAGCAAAACTTGGCAGACAAGTCAGGCAAACACAAACGGGCAAACAAATCCGGGCAAACATTAGGACACCTTTTCTTGAAGTGGTCCCAAACCATCAAATTTAAGATAATTTCTTTACAAATAAGTGCGGTCAAATAGTCACACAAAGGGGGTTGCCCACAAGAGGCCCTGATCCTCCTTAATGTGACTGTTTTGAGATTCCCTGTAGTGTCCAACCTATTTTGGGGGGTTCTTCCCCGGCGGATCTGAGAAGCCTTGGCAATACTAAAGTCGAGTTGGCAATACCAAAGTAAGTCCCACCCTAGACCCCCTGGATTTTCCATCAAGAGGGTCCCACTGACTGGTTTCACTGTTCAGCGGGGGGGGGGGCAACAGTAAAGAGGGTCCACCAGGAATGTGGACAAATTCCACGCCACACTGGGAGAAGCCGCCTCCCAATTGCAAAGTGGAGGAATCGCCCACTCCCAGTACATGGTTCCCCGCAGATCTCCCCGTAAAGCCTCATCCCGACCACTCGAAGCTCCTCCCTCACCACCCAAAAGGTGATGTTGGAAAACCACCGACCAGAGAAACCTGGGCGTGACATTTTTCTGGAGGGTCCCCCTTTTTTCCCGGGAGAACCTGAAAAACACAGGGGTTTCCCTGTTTTCCCTCCTTTTTTTTGGAGAACAGATGGGTTTTTCCTTGTTTTCCTTTTTCTGTTTTTCTTTCGGGGGGGGGGGGACATTTTTCACACGGCCCCTTTGGGGAGTGGTTCCAACCCCCGGCAGAAGCAGCGGCGCCTGCGACGTTTTATGTCTGCCAGGACCCGAGGCTCGTGAGCCACGGGGTGGTCATGACCTTTGCAGACCTCCTCTGGCGCCTTGGCTCACCGTCCATTCGGTGGAAATAATTTAATGTTTTGTGTTGTGCAACTTGATAAACACAACTATTTGTTGTGTTAATTTAATGATTAATTTAATCAAATAAGTTAAAAAACACAACTTTTCTCAACTTTTTGGGGGGTAACATGGGCTATATGTCTGTAAAAGATTAACTTCCCCAGGGCTGGGAGTTTTAAGGGGTAAGATTTGTGTTGTATGTTACCACCGCGTTTTTTGGTGTGTGTGTGTGTGTTTTTTCTCTTTCCCAAGTTGTCTTCCTCTGTGTGTGTGTTTGCTTTTTGTTTAAGAGCATCTCTGTCACTGGTTCACTTCTTGAAGCACTTCCTTTTTCCACGTGGCTTTTAAAGGGAGTCTCCATCACTACTGGACATATGTTGTTTTCCAGGGGGACGTCAGCAAATGAAGGATTATCGCACTATTGTGTGTGTGTGTGTAACTGATTGTATTTTACCATATGTAATTTTAAAGGGAATCTCTATCACTGGTTCACTTCTGAGGTCTTCGGTTTTGCTTGTTAAGCAAAACAAGTCAAGTTGTTGCCTTGTTGGATTCAAAGTTGGACTCGATTTCACTACTTGACACGTGTTATCATATGTTTTCCAGGGGGCAAAAAAGCAAATGGAAGTTCGGCACAGCTGTGCTGCCAGACGCTTCCAGGGCCCCCGCTGCAAGGTTCCTACAAGGGAACTCAAAAGGGTCCGATGTTCCGAGAAGCAAATCGGACCCCTTGAGGGTGGTAACCCTTCGTTAGAGCTCTTTTTTTGGGGGGGTTCCCTTTACACATGAAGTCTTAGCCGGGGTTCCACCCAGTTTCATTTGGAGTGTTTTTTCAACCTCCGACGCCAAGATTGGTGAGTTTTGTAGAGTTTAAAACCATCCAACAAGTGTACCCTCAAAAAGACATCCATATTTGTGCACGGTTTGCTTTGGGGACCTCATGAACGGGAAGCATCTCAGTTCATGGTCGGGCCCAACTTGGAGCTTGCGACTAGCTCGTTTGAACATGCTCGTGTCAGTCTTCGCTTCATCCCCTCAGTTCACCGGAACCCTTTACCAGGCCCGATTGTCCTGGTATTTCTGTGCCGTAGCTCCGCTCCAGCGGCCTTCCGGTCGCCCCAGGAACCGGCTGGCCTCCTTCCACTTTCTGCTAGGACGAGGCGCCAAAGAGAGTGTGGCCGGACGGAGCCAATTGGTTCAACTCTTTCCAGTTTTTCCCCTGTTGGCTTTCCGTTTTATCACTACTGGACAAAAAATACATTTTCCCCAGGGGACTTAAGCAAATGGAGGACTCTGCTGGTTTCAACATTTGCACTTCCAGGAAGGTTTAGCTGCAGGGAAGCCAAGTTTGGTACAGGGTCAACTGGTTTGCGTTTAGTTGGGATTTCCCGCAAAGATGCCGCAGCCGCACGCCAGTATGATTCTTGGCTTTGCCACATGTTAGGTTCTGCTCATGTTTAGCGGTGTGTGTGTGTTGCTAACTGTACCAGGAGTTTGAGATGTGTCGATCCCGCTTTGGGTTTTGCGCAAAGTGTTTTGCCACCTTACCCTCCGCTGGTAAAAGTCGGGCCGTACTCCCTTCGTTGCTCCTCTTGTGGATTTTCAATGACCTTCCTATGCGGCGAGCGATTCCCCCGGGTAAATTGAGGGATCCTTAATGTAGGGCTTTCGCTTGGGGATAGTTTGAATGATCTGCACCGAGAGTGGGCCACCGATCCAAGCGAGCGATCCCGATCACGATGGTCTGCTTGATGGTTTCAACGAGTTTCAGTACTTAGCAAGTTCGGATTCTTGGGGGCCCATCCATGCCAACGTCAGCTTGGCCTTGGGCTCGGGTTGGGAGATCCAGCTCCAAAGACTCCAAGCCTATCAATTCCTTCAAGTCAGGGCTGTGGGGCTACCTTAAGGCACCCTTTCTGTGGACTTTTTTGTCTGAGCTCAAGGGGGGGGACCTGATCCTCCTTTCATGAAACCACTGAAGTTGAATCCTACATGACTTATTAAGTATCGAGGTGTCTATATCTCCGTGCCAAATGTCTTATTGAGCGGGTAGTAGACAGGGGTGGCGCGCGACACCTTGTAGAACCCATGAAAATGCGCAGACCGTTCCAAGAGCACAGTCTTCCAAAGCGGGCAGCTGTGCACCTTGAGCCCTGTGTGACATGAAATTATGCGTGGTAAGTCCAAGAAATAGACATCCTAGCTTGGACCCTGCCCCCAAACACTAACAGTCACCACAATTTGGAAGACAATTTTAGTGGTGGTTAATCTAAATTTCCTTCACCCACTGTTAGTAGGTGGTGGCAGGGTCCAAGTCCTAGTCCAGTACTGGCATTCCTGGAGTAAGTCAGGGTTGGTCAAACAGAAATAATTCCAAAAGATAATCCGCAGATTCGGCTGTTCTTTTGTTACAGGCGGGGGTGTTTGTATACATTTATACATATACGCACATACTCTTTTTGCATACAGTTTTGCGTACCCGTGGGCGAATGACCCCCAAGGCTTGCCAATGAACCCCTCTCCCCAAAACGTATACCCCAAATAAGTCATATAAGGAGGCTTGGTAACGGGGGAGCCGAGTGGCATGACACCAGGTCACCGCAGACTTGGGTATGTCAAAACCAGGGGGCACAAAATGGGTTTCCTTTCTTTCGGTTTCCCTTTGAGCCATGGAAACGAGATGAAACCAAAACCAATCCGAGAGTCCCTTTGCGATGGTTCAGGGATTTCCCCCCATTTGGATGCGTCTTTTTTGCGGGGTGCCTTCTTGTGGTGCGTTTTGAAATAGGGGGGGATTCAGGGCAACCGCCAATTCTTGGAGGTTCCCACCCATTTTTGTGTCTTGTTTCACATTTGTAAGACACATCCATTTGGCTCACCCCCCCCCCATTTTTACAACCCCCCAACCCATGTTGCGTGGCTCCCTCATTTTCGGACCCACGTTTGGTCAGGCTACTTCCTCTTTACTCTTTTGGTGTTCATCACCTCCCAGTCCTTCCTGGTGCCGGGAGTGGCTTGTCGAGAGAGAGTGGTCAGACGCCGCACTGCGGTCGGAAGTAACTCAACGCACGTCCTTTTGAGTTCCTGGCTTCAACGACCCGCAGGCTTTGACTTGTGCTTGCCTGTTTTGATGCTGTTCTTTTTCATGAATCCTGGGATTCCTTGTAAGCGCTTGACTGGAATTTTGGACCTCAGCCTTTTGATTCTTTCCGGATTGGACCCACGAACAAAAAGTGAGTCACTTCTTGCAGAGGGGTCAACAGCAGCCAAGGAACCGGTGCTTGTCATGATAGGGACGGACAAAGCTGATACCCTTGCATCATCCTCCATGGCAAGGGCATGGGCAACCACCGTTTGGTTTTTGAGCGGTTCTTTCCAGTCTGTCGGCTTACCTGCGAGCTTCTTGTCCGCCAGATTTCGGGTTTTCAATCCCAACTTCAGTCCTAACCTCCAAGCCACAAATCCAAGTCACCCCAACTAGAGAGAAGCTACGTAGTACCCGGTACCCTCTCTCCCACATGGCAACTCACAGGGACCCGGTCTCTCCAAGAGGAAACTCTTCCGGGTGCCCTCCCGCAGGTGCCATGGCAACGTGGGAGGGGCAACTCACTTCTCATGTTCAAGTGTTCGAACTTCGAGCGGCGGTTTTGCTGGGCCATCTGCAACTTCGTCAGCGCGGGAGGGCGAAGTCCAATCTTTGGCGGTTCGCTGGGCATGTCCTGTTCAACATGGAACCCACCGGAAGGTTTCACAGTCAGGTTCCATGCTGGTGGACAATGGGAACCCCGCGCCGGATCAACAAACCCGTGTTCCCCTCCAAGAGGGATAACCCCCCACAAAAGGGGACATCCCGGATGAAAATCGGACAGCAGTCTATGAATCCGGGGTCAACATTACCTATAGGTCCCAAAGTTGTGCCCTTTTGCCGTTTTTGGGGGAGGGCTCCCCCACTAAAATAGACTACAGAAAAGGGTACCCTTATTCTAACCTCTCTACTGGAGGACCTAGTTACCTACTGCCTGAGCTCATGAACTTTGAACTTTTCTGGCTTGGACCATTTTAGTTGTAAGCACAAGTTTGGTGAGGCCAACCAGCCTGCCATTCCGGCCCAGGAAGAGACGCTCTGGCGGAACATTCTGACGTTTGTGTGCCGCTGCTTCCTATATTTGGGACACCCGGCAGGAGCGTGAGAAATAACGTTGCGAGCTTGGCAAGACGAGCGAGAAGACAAAGGTCCCTGACTCGCAGATCCCCTTCTTACTCTCGGAATAGTTTTGAACACCCCTTTGGCCAGCCGAGTCAGGAAGTGGATGTTTTTCGATATGGGTGGCGTGTTTGTGCAATTGTCATTGTCAACTTTGGAGTTTGCCTTTTCCGATTGGGATTCAGTGCAGGGACCCAGAATCCAGTAGAAGCCCGTATGGGGTCTTCAACTTGTTCCTCAATGTGGTTGGCTTGGCAAAGCTAGGTGTTTTTTTCAGTCAAACTAGGAACACGGCTCATATTCCGCCGTGAGTCAAAACAGGATTTCAGTAGCACAAGTCAATAATAACACGTGTTTTCCCGTAGGAAATCCCAATGAACCGAAGCCTTAAGTGATTTCCGTGCTTTTCACACGTCCACCCCAAGCAGAGTTACTGTTTTCGTGAGTTTTTTCCAAATGAAAACAAGGGTTTTGCTCCTCGTGAACTACTTTCAAACCGGCACGATGCAGTGCTTTTTCCCAATCAAACACCGACCGCGTTCCTTGTCACAGCAGAGCCTCCAGGGCAAGCAAAAACTCGCTAGGGCTTTGAGCAGCTAGCGTTTTCCGCATGAATACAGTACTGAGCAGGCGCGCGTGAGCGGGTATTCTTACCATCTGGCTGGCATGGGTACGGTGCTGAAATATCAGTGTTTGCAGCTGCCCGAAGGGGTAAAACCACACGAAATTGCATATTGATCCACGGCGGAATATGAGCCGTGGACCAACTACCCCTTTTCAAGGTTCTGAGGGGCTTTTGTGCCATTCAATTCACAAATCCTGGCATTGGGGAACTTGCCGGCATGAATCTGCTTGGATCCCCCATACGCATGAGCCTGACAGATTCAATCCCTGCCTCAGAATGCGTTCTCGGGGCTGAAGAAATTTGTACATCAGCTTTTCCTTGTTCAACTTCATTCATTAATCCTTATGCCCGATGTTTTCCCTGCTTCTGGTGGTGTCCCACGGATTGCAGATGAGAGAAGGCCCCATTATGTTGACCAACCCAACTCAACTTGAGGAAGTCAAAACTGATATGAAGTCATGGCAAGGTTTGTCAAGAGGGACTTCTCATTGCTCAAAGGCTTCGCCTTGGCCAGGTAGAGGACATGTCGACTTTTAGGAGGGCCAAAAGGGGGGCCGCAAAAACATGCTTCCATGCAGTTGCCCAAACGTCCTTAAACGCAAAAACCAAAAGGGCGCCCCTGTTTTTCCCCATGGAACTCCACGGGGCTTCTGAAAAGTAGAAATCCTGTTCTGGATTTCTAGGTGTGTTCAAGCAGCAGCTGTTAATCTCATTGCCCTGGTCTTCGGGGCCCCTGGGCCAGCAACAAAGCTTGGCAGAAAAATGGCCGGCGCTTCGTGGCAGATCTCAGGAAAACCTCGGACTCTCCATTGACTCGCTTCAGTTTCCAAACTTGAGACTTGCGGCTATGTGTTCGTTGGTTAGGAGCAGGATGGCGTAGGTTCGGCCCAAACAGTATAAAAACTTCTGGCCAGCCTTTTGGGGCTGGACCAAATTTTAGTGGTGAACAGAAGGTTTGAACTTTTAGCAAGTCTCAGGAAGTGATCCCAAGTTTTCGTGAGGACACTGCAATTCCCAAGCGCCTTTTTGGAGAAAGGCAGCCAGCAACACGGACGCCCAGATGTGAGTTACGAGCCTTTAAAGAGCACGCCAGGGTTGGTTTTTTTGACCCCCACGGTCTTCGGATTCGCTAAGTGTGCAAGCAGTGCATCCAATATGTTGCCCCTAGCCGGGGGTTTTGAAGGAGTATCAACGTACCACGGATCTACAGTTGCCCGATGCTACTGTGGATTCCGACTCTGTTTGCGCCTTTGTGTAGCACTTTTCAAGGGGGGGAATCCACAGGAGCACCAGCTATCGGAGGAAACCACGAGACACATGGAGGCAACGCTCGCTGGCCACGTTTTGGTATTTGCCAAGTGTATCTAGAAGATGTTTCTTGGCATTTAGGCTGTAGCAAGCTCACCCGGCAGAAAACAAGCTTACCCGTGAAGGGTCCCTTTCTTGATCAACTAGGTCCCCCAGTAGTGCCCTTTCTCACCACTTTTTTTGGTTGGGAGGGTTCCCTAGGCTATAGAAAAAAGATCGAGTACCCTCATTCTAACCTCTCTACTGGAGGACCTAGTTGATTTTCGGTTGGGAATGCAATGTACCCGGTTGTTTACAAAACTGATCCTTCCGTCTCAGGAAGTATGAGCAAGCTCCTCTTCGACCAGTGCAAGCTGAGTTGCACCGGGTTGCGGGCACCACTGCCATGTCTGAAACAATGTGTGGGTCAATGGGGACCCAGGCCCAAAATGGAACCCTGGGGAATGGAACCAAGGACTATCTGCGGTCCATATCCTGGTCGAATTTTGACCCATAGCCAAATGAGAAGCTCCCTATGTGCCTAGCGAGCCTGGCTAAGTTTCTTTTTCCTGGCGGGACAGGAGTTGGTTCACTTTGGTAGGCTGCACTTCCCCGCAATTACCTCTCCCTCCAGAATGGTTCAACCAGGCATCCTTCCTTCTCAACATTTCCCACGGAATGGTGCCTTCAACAAGGCGTATCGAAGGCTCAGACACCAGCCCCGGTCGATGCCGCAATTCGGCGGCCACCTCTGTGACAGGTTAGGTTGCCAGCTTGACGTGTGCTGACTAGCTTGGTGGCAAAGCACAGTTTGGGCGGATGCGAATCCACTCAGCTTTGGGGTAAGCCTTACCTTTTGGACATGCCAGAATGCATGTCCTGAAGAGGAACGGTGGTGGGGCTGAATGTATTCACCCCTGGTGTACCCCACTTCCTTCTTTTTTTTTTGGTGTGTGTGTGTGTTGTCAGGCGACAAGTGGGTCGCCTGTTCTCCCAGGGCCCCCTTCCTGGGGTTGGTTTACCAAAGGAACCGATGCAACCAAAAGGAAGCCTCTCATGTTGGGCCCCGGCCTATTTTCGAGAGCCGATGCCTTCCATTTGGCAAAAAAAGTGTGTTGCTCGGTGTTTCTTCTTGTGGGGCCTGGCAACTTGATTTTAGAGCTGTGGTGTTTCGTGGGGATCCCTAAAAGCGGCACCCAAACCCCGAAAAGGGAGGGCTCAAAAACTATGTCCAGTGATAGATTTCCTTCAACACCAAGAAGGGACATCAAATCTGCAACTGGAAGATGGGAGGCCTCAAAAACCAAGACACGCATGAACCGATTGTCGAGCGCTTGATCCGCCAGGCGGGGGATTACCAATGGTATTGGTTCATCCCGGTGCCGAACTACTTGAAAGGCACCCAGCAGGCGCCATCTGGCAGAGGTGACCTGAACTTCCTGGAACCTGAAACAGCCGTTCACAAATGGTGCTTACCCCAACTGCCATCTTCCATCAATAAGGTCTATTCACAGGAAATGGTTGCTTGAGAAACCACCATGTGTAAATGGTGGTTTCAGTTTCCAGATTTGGATGAATCAAAGGACCGTAACTATTCCCCGGCACACGTTGCAGTGAACCCAAACGGGGGCTGCAAGAGGAGCTTCCCCTACTCAAATAGGTGCTTTCTGGGTTCCACTTTTTTTGGGGTTGGGGGAAATCAGGGAAATGATCCAGGGCTCCTCAAAAGATACATTTTGCACCCATTTGAACCATGGCTTTTTCAACACCAAATGAAAGGGAAGCCACCATTTACAAGTTGCAAGGTTCGGGTGTATAATGCATCCGGATCCCTGTCCAAAATCCATAGGTTTCCCTGAGTCCGAAGTTGACGGGCTGCGTAGCTTCCTTCTGGGCCCATCGGGCTCGAGCCGCGCCGGACCTCCTGGGAAATTGTGCATCCCCTTGCCAGAGGTTTGCCCTTGCCAGGGATGTGGAAATCCAGTGTCCCTGACTTTCTAAGTCCAGTGTTTCACTTGTGTGTAATGGCTTTGTCTCAAGACAGCCAAGTCGGATTTGTTTCACTTGCGTTTACTGGATCCAGTGTGTTCCTTCTAAATCCCGTGTTTCCCTTGTAAATCAAGACAGGCACGTCGGATTTGTTCGAGCCATTCGGGTTAAACACCTCAACACCAACCGAGCAACCCTGCTCCCGACCGTTTGTTGCCCTTGGGATTTGTTTTTGCTTTTCTTCCCCACATCTTTGTGTGGGGTTCTTACTTTTTCCGCTCGTCGTCCGCGCGCCGCGTCTCCTTCTCCTTCTCCCGCTCGTCTCCGTCTCACTCACTCACTCACTCACTCACTCACTCACTCACTCACTCTCACTCACTCACTTACACTCACTCAACTCACACTCACTCACTCACACTCACTCACTCACACTCAGTCACTCACACTCACTCACACTCACTCACACTCACTCACTCACACTCAGTCACTCACACTCACTCACACTCACTCACTCACACTCACTCACACTCACTCACCCACTCACTCACGCTCACTCACACTCACTCACTCACACTCACTCTCATTCACTCACTCTCATTCACTCACTCACTCACTCACTCACTCGCTCACTCACTCACTCACACTCGCTGACTCACGGCAGCTGTCTAGAGGGACAGGATGTTGTCGCGCGCGCGGCGGGGGGTGTGCGAAATCGTGGCAGGCGCAGCACTTTGGCGATGCCGTTGCGAAATCGTGGCAGGCGCAGCACTTTGGCGATGCCGTTGCCGAAGTCGTGGCAGGCGCAGCATTCTGTGCATCTGGGTGTGTGTTTGTGTGGCAGGGGTCGCATTCGGCAGCTGTCTAGAGGGACAGGATGTTGTCGCGCGCGCGGCGGGGGGTGTGCGAAATCGTGGCAGGCGCAGCACTTTGGCGATGCCGTTGCGAAATCGTGGCAGGCGCAGCACTTTGGCGATGCCGTTGCCGAAGTCGTGGCAGGCGCAGCATTCTGTGCATCTGGGTGTGTGTTTGTGTGGCAGGGGTCGCATTCGGCAGCTGTCTAGAGGGACAGGATGTTGTCGCGCGCGCGGCGGGGGGTGTGCGAAATCGTGGCAGGCGCAGCACTTTGGCGATGCCGTTGCGAAATCGTGGCAGGCGCAGCACTTTGGCGATGCCGTTGCCGAAGTCGTGGCAGGCGCAGCATTCTGTGCATCTGGGTGTGTGTTTGTGTGGCAGGGGTCGCATTCGGCAGCTGTCTAGAGGGACAGGATGTTGTCGCGCGCGCGGCGGGGGGCGTGCGAAATCGTGGCAGGCGCAGCACTTTGGCGATGCCGTTGCGAAATCGTGGCAGGCGCAGCACTTTGGCGATGCCGTTGCCGAAGTCGTGGCAGGCGCAGCATTCTGTGCATCTGGGTGTGTGTTTGTGTGGCAGGGGTCGCATTCGGCAGCTGTCTAGAGGGACAGGATGTTGTCGCGCGCGCGGCGGGGGGTGTGCGAAATCGTGGCAGGCGCAGCACTTTGGCGATGCCGTTGCGAAATCGTGGCAGGCGCAGCACTTTGGCGATGCCGTTGCCGAAGTCGTGGCAGGCGCAGCATTCTGTGCATCTGGGTGTGTGTTTGTGTGGCAGGGGTCGCATTCGGCAGCTGTCTAGAGGGACAGGATGTTGTCGCGCGCGCGGCGGGGGGTGTGCGAAATCGTGGCAGGCGCAGCACTTTGGCGATGCCGTTGCGAAATCGTGGCAGGCGCAGCACTTTGGCGATGCCGTTGCCGAAGTCGTGGCAGGCGCAGCATTCTGTGCATCTGGGTGTGTGTTTGTGTGGCAGGGGTCGCATTCGGCAGCTGTCTAGAGGGACAGGATGTTGTCGCGCGCGCGGCGGGGGGTGTGCGAAATCGTGGCAGGCGCAGCACTTTGGCGATGCCGTTGCGAAATCGTGGCAGGCGCAGCACTTTGGCGATGCCGTTGCCGAAGTCGTGGCAGGCGCAGCATTCTGTGCATCTGGGTGTGTGTTTGTGTGGCAGGGGTCGCATTCGGCAGCTGTCTAGAGGGACAGGATGTTGTCGCGCGCGCGGCGGGGGGTGTGCGAAATCGTGGCAGGCGCAGCACTTTGGCGATGCCGTTGCGAAATCGTGGCAGGCGCAGCACTTTGGCGATGCCGTTGCCGAAGTCGTGGCAGGCGCAGCATTCTGTGCATCTGGGTGTGTGTTTGTGTGGCAGGGGTCGCATTCGGCAGCTGTCTAGAGGGACAGGATGTTGTCGCGCGCGCGGCGGGGGGTGTGCGAAATCGTGGCAGGCGCAGCACTTTGGCGATGCCGTTGCGAAATCGTGGCAGGCGCAGCACTTTGGCGATGCCGTTGCCGAAGTCGTGGCAGGCGCTGCATTCTGTGCATCTGGGTGCTCTGTAATCGCATCCATACAAGGGGCGCACGGTACATGTGTGTGGACATTTGAACTCACATCCTTGGGAAAAACATAGCATGTGGGGTTATCCGGTCCTTTAATTTTTTTTTTTGGGGGGGGGGCCGGGGGGTAGGCTCAAAGGGAAATCAAAAGGAGACCCACCATTTTTGGGGTGACCACTTTGGACACGTCACATGAATGAAGGCTCGAACTCAGCAGCATATGGTTGACCTTTTTGTTGTTCATCGTGCAACGCATGCTTCAAGGATCCACTTTGTTCGTCCTATGGTCCGACCAGATTTTGGCTTGGCCAGTCAGGCCCTGAGTTTGGGCGAATTCGAAGTGTCCCCATTTCTGTTGGTATCAACCCCAAGCCGTCATTGAAAAGGAAATTAGCCGTCCAATAAAAGCTCAGCACACAGTTGTGCATTTTTTTTGCATCTCTTGGCTCTTTCAATGTGGGGGGCCTTGAATTACCAGAAGCCAATGAAAGTGCGAGGCTTCAATATACTCTTTAGAATCTAGTACCATCCCATTTCAAAGAATACTATACATACATGTTCACAAGCCTTTAGCCGGGGAAGACATCCTGATCAGGATGTCTTGTTTTTCTTTCGGGGGGCGGAGGTTTGGATTTGCCAGGCGGGCAGCGCTCTGCTGGTGCTGCTGCTGATCCTGATGCACCCAGACGAAACCAGAGAGATCCCAACTGGCGACTTCCATTTGCTGAAATGAATATGTGTTATTAAAGCCCTGTTGGTTTTTTAGAAAATCAATCGCAGAATTGGACATATTTGTTTTTGGAGGCTTAAGCAAATGGAGGGCCCCGAGCCGGAACCTGGTGGCCAGCCGACTGGTGGAATGCTCGCACCTCCTTTAAATGGGACAGAGGGCTAACGGCTATCAAGGATCGGTGTGGGAACCCGGGCACGGCCTTGGTTGAGGGGTGCAACCCCAAAAGAGAGGTGTTGAATCTTCGAGGTTTTGGGGGAAACCCACCTCCCTCTTCCGATTTCGTTTGATCCAGCGATACCGCACAGGAGACTAAGTGGGAAAGAAGCCCATGGCCAGATGACTAACAGCTTACTACCTTGGCCGAGCGCCCAAGTAGAACCAACCAGTTTCGGGCTCGAAAACTTCGCCATGCAACTCAGCTGCCAGCAAAGGGAACCCAAGCCGTCAGACAACCCCCTCGCTTTCGCTTTCTTTCCAAGCCCTGGGCTGTGGTTTGTGTCAAGCGACCTGAAGGAAAGAACTCCGGGCTCGCCCCTCGCCACGAGGGGCGAGCAGGCGCCTCCTTCAGCAAGGGTGTGGGGCCACATGGATCTCGTTCCATTGGGGCGCCCTTCATTTGTATTTCCTATAGGCATTTTTTGGCTGGATGGCGACCCCTCAGAAATGCTGCGGTCACATGCTGGTTTTTGGTTGGTCAGAGAACCCATTTGGTGGGTTGTATGTGGATCGTCGACCCTGAATCGATCTGGTGCACGCTTCCTGGGATTCTGCAACCCTTAAATGGAACGACTCCCCCTTTTTCTGAGCCAGTTCATGACTCCTGCATCCCATTCATTCCAAAAAATGGGTCTGTATCCAAGCCGGGGGGGTTATGAGTTCCCAGACTAGGGCTCCTCGAATTGGGTGGGGGTTTTCGGGGGTTTTTGTGTGGCTTTTGGTCAGGTACGCGCAGGAGCCGATCTTGTGGTGCGTGTCCTTTGCCGCGCCGAACCCTTCGGCGCTGCCCTTTACCACCACCTGCGCCTCGGAAAAAGCGGACAGACGCCTCGGTTGAGCAGGGGTCGATTCCTATATTTCCCTTTTTGGCGGTTTTAAACATCACCTTTTTGGCCCAAAGGTGAGTATCCCTTGGTGGTGATGTTTTAAGGGGAAATATAGGGAGCCCTGATTAGCTGAAAAAGAACTTCGCAGTTGCTTGGTGTTAGCCTCGACCTCGGCGAGGCGAGGCTTTGCTTTGAAGCGTGTTTTTGTTTTTAGTTTCCCACGAAGAAACATCGGGGGCATGGCTTTGTCTCAAAGGGAGTCCCGAAAATGGCGCAACAGTCTTCCTTTTGGCGTCCTTTCAAAACCAACCCCCAACAAAAATGCCCTCAGAAAACGGCACCCGAATGGACCTTGTGCCAAGCGGCGTGTTTTTCTCATCGACCCTGCGGCAAGCACGCTTCAAATGAAACCTTGGGGTAAACGGTGTCCACTTCGCGCGTTTCATGCTGAAAATTGACTCCGAAGGGAAATCCACCCGTTGATCATGGCTGGCTTATTCGCTGAAAAGCCCTGGGTGCCACTTTTGGTGCAATTTGAATGGGAATGCAACGCGAACCCATTTTTTTGGGGGGGGCCAGCACATATTGCCCTTGAGGGTACCCCTTTAAAGATACGGTTTTCCAGGGGAACCCAAAGAGAGCGCAGAAAAAACCCACCGCCCAAAAAATCGGGCGTCCGAAAACTGGCCGCAGAGCTGGGGACCCGATCGATCCCAGAGAGCAAGGGGATCCACGGCCGACGTGCCGAACGCCCGCAACTTGAGGCCTCGAGGCGCAGGATGTGATGACGTCCTACACCATCTTCTCTTGCGCCGCGGCTGAGAAGCCGAAGACCCGTTTTCTCTGGCGGCAGGAAAAACGGGTGTGGAGCTGGCGGTCGAAGACCCTCCCCTTTGAAGTCAAGGATGTCGTTGGGAAACATGTTTTTCATTACTGCTTATGGTGGTTTAGTGGTGGCTTAAAATTTGAATTGTTGCACCCCTTCCAACGTCAAGCATGTCTGGCAGTAGGAAACGGTGTGGAGCTGGCGCATCAGTGGACCCACCGCTGGATACTAAAGGAGTACTAAAAGAGTTTCAAAAAAAAAGACCTACGGGGGTGAAGAGCAGGTGAAATCCACAAAAGGCGCATCGGGTTAAAGGGAAAGCAAGAGGAAACCTCAACTGTTTGGGGCCGACATATTCCTATGTTGAGAAGCGCCATTAGATCGCTCCCCGGCTTGTTTTCACATGTTTCCCAAGAAGCCACGACCATAGCAAATGGGATCTCCTGGGAAATTGACTCCCTGCAATCCCTGCAACCCGTGATCCTGGACGGTGAGCTTGCCTCAGTCTCATGCAGAAATCCACGTTGGACCAAAAAGTCCAGGTGTGACTCAAAATGACCCTTGCTTGGGAGAACCTGCATAGGTCCGCCAGTAGTGCCCTTTTACCCTTTTCTTGGGGAGGGTTCCCCTACTAAAATAGACTACATAAGAAAAAGGGTACCCTTATTCTGGCATCTCTACTGGACAACCTAGCTGCAGAAGCGCTTCTGCAGGTTCTGGCTTCGAAATGGGCATGGCTCCATGATTTTCGACTAGGCTGTTCTTTCTCGACAGTCTTTCCGGTCCCATACGCGGCCAGTCGAAGACCCCAATGCCAGCTGGGGTTTAGAGGTTCGGCTTGGCCCGATCCGCTTTCACGCCAAGGGAAGAAGTTTCTGGTGCTTGTTTTAGGCCTTCATCGAGCCTTCCACTTCCCCTTGGTGATTTGGGTTGGTCGTTTGGAAGATACGGGCTTCAAAGTGGGGGGGTGGTTTCCTATGTGCCCTCAACAAGAACCACGGGTTCAGACCCCACCACCAATACAACATATACAAATTGCCAATATTGAATATGCAACTAATGGTTTGGATTGGCTTGGGGATCTGAACTTGGGTTCTTGCCTCAGGTTTTTGGGAAACCCCCGGAACACCTCTAAACAATTGTCACAATTGGAGGGAAGCTAAAAGTGGGGATAACCTGCTCGTCGACCCGTTTCGACCTTTTGGTTTTCCCGTGCTCCTTTTGGGTTACAGGTGAAAACGTCTTGTGCTGTCCAGCTTTGGTGCTCTCACTCCTTGAGCGCATGGACTTGAGTCGCTGTTTGGGTTCGGACCATTTGAGTTGCGAAGAATCAAAGTTCTTTTTTTCTGGGAATCCATTGGTTTGGAAGCTTGAGTGCGAATCTGGCCGCCATTGTTTGGGTCCCGGGTTTCAAAGTGCCGTAGGCACCAGCAAAAACACAGTAGCGCAGTAGTGTATCCGCCTGTGTTTTTTCAATAGAAGTGATCGCGCTGGACTCAGGGGGTATACACCCTCTTTTGGAGGGTTTTTAAAGGGAAACCAAAAAGAAACCCAAAGGGAAAACCGCATTTATTTGTGTTTTTTTTGGGGAGGTGACCCTGAAAAAGGCACACTGATGTGTCCTGAGAGGAGCAACACCAAAAACATGTGTATTGGCTTTTGAGTACACGCCTTGGTTTTTGGGGCTGGAGGCTTGGCCATGCTGATCTACTGGGCGCTGCTCATGGACTTCACCTTGCTGTCCATGCGTATCTCCGCCTTCGTGCTGGCGGGGAAGGGGTGGAAAGCCGGGGAAGCCGCTGGTTCCATTCTTTATATGAAAAATATAGCGGGAAGAACCCATGTGTTTTTTGTTTATATATATATATGAATATCTTTACGGGAAGAACCACATTGGTAAACCAGGTTTTTTTTTTTTTGGGGGGGGGGGGGAAGAACCACATTGGGAAACCAAGTGGGCAAGTGGGCACAAGGGAAGAGGCAACAGGATGTTTTGTTTTGATGTGGGATCAAGGTGGAACTAGACCGGATCTGATTTTTGTTGCTTCTTGGTTGGAAGGGAAGAAGTGCTGGTGCCCGCATGGTTGCTGCCTCCCTCTGAGTTGGGCTGGGGCCGGTGTTGCGATCTCACCAGCCCAAGCTTCGGAACGGACTGCGGCTGCGGGATGAATCACCTAGGCTGTTCAACCTGGCGTTGAGAGTCGGCTAGCAGCGCAAGCCTGTGACTTGCCGGTGCAATAGGTAGGAAATGACTCGGGGGGTTGGGAATGAGCCTAGTTGCCCATAAGGGTCATTCCAATTCTGATTCCCCTATTGCACAAGCAAGTAAGGCAAATGTTTTGTTGTTGTTGGCCTCCACCTTACACTCCCTCCGGCTAACATGGAAGCACCCAGCTCTCTAAATGTGACCAAGCTTTCTACAGGTCTCCTGGGAGTTTGTTTCCATGTTAGTCTGGGGGAGGTTGCGTGAGGCTTGCCACCGCGGTCACGCGGTCACGCGGTCACGCGGTCACGCGGTACCAACGGGAGGTTTGTGGCAACGTCTTGGCGGACGTGGGCCTTTTCTCGCTGGCCCTGGTCTTCTTGATCCTCGCCTTCGCCACGGCCATCAGCCTCTTTGACGCAGTCGAGTTGGGCGGGTTTGGGATGGTTTGGGCGTTCCGGCGTTCCTTGGGTGGCCGGCCAGGGGCTGGCGCGATCCGATTTGGATGAAGCAAGGAAGGGGTTCCTCCTGTTCCCTTGTTGGAGCCAAGAGTGGCAGAGAGAGACCCCTGGCCAAGACTCACATCCCCAGTTTCTGTGGACTTTGTATCAGGGTAGCCATTTCTCGCAAGGGACCGCCAAAAGTCGCGATCTGAATTGATCAACCTTTGAGGGGAAATTCATTGACCCCTCCGAAACTGTTTTGATCTTGGGGAGCTGAAAGATCCAACCCAAGCAGCTTGGGTCGGGCGTTTTTGTCTTTCGGCTCCCTCGGCCTCACTTCACCCAGGCTCCTTGAACCACCACCTCGTAGAGTTCGACGGCGTCGGGCCCTGGCTCTCGGGCCTACTGCGCCTCTTCCAAAAAGCTCAGCGCGATGTTGAGGGCTCCGTGAGGAAAATTGCGTCGCCACCTGAGGGCACCCAGGAAGCTTACTGTGGATGGGTCCAACGCAATCCAATTCTCACCACTTTGAAACCATGGAAAGCCAATGTTTGTCGGTAATTTCAAGGGAATCATCATCCCACTGTTTGCTAGGTTGAGTGTGCTCCCCTCACAGAATGTTAGATATATGTCGTAAGGTTGGCTTTGACGCAGTCTAGCGAAGCATCGGGCCAAGCGACTTGGGACCCAGTTTTTGGACTAGAGGAGGCCATTTGGATGGGGCAGACAGCAATTCAGTCTCCAAGTCCTCGCTTGGATCTTGCAGGGAAAGGTGGTAAAATGGCTAGCCATTCCCCCCATTTGCACGGCCCAGGCAACCCACAAGGAAACAACATGTGTTATTTTGCCGGGGTCCTCGGTTTTGAGAAGACCCCGTTTCTCCAATGCGACCTTTTAGCGGTTCGAGAGTCCCAGACCCCCGGCCAAGATGTGTATCCCCAGTTTCTGTGGACTTGGTATGGGGTTTCCGCGCCATGTCCCGCGTTCGAACCTCCAAAAGTCGCGATTGTTCCCATGGCTGCCAGTAACTTGATGAACCTTTGAAGGGGAAATCCAGCGACCCCTGTTTATACTTTGCGGTCTTGTGGTCTGGTTCCTGCGTGGTTGCTGTGGTCATGCGAGCTGGGCCAGAGCCGACACACACGCACACAGAGCTTGTTCGACAAGTACTTGTTTAGCCAACCCGCACAAGCCCTCGGGGAATACAATACAGCAGGGATGCACCCTCCGGGGCATAGTAAAAAGGTGTTTCGTCGGTGGGAGCTCATCATTTTAGTGGTCACCCTTCTTGGGGATGGGACCCAAGCAAGTGTAAGGCGCACGATTTTGTCTCCGTACTTTCCAAACAAACAAGGCGCTTGTTTGCATTTTCCATACAAACAAGCACCTATATGGGACACTTTGGCTGTTTGATGGTGCTCCTTGCTTCTTGCCTTGGGGCCCAAGAAGGAGAAGCCGGGATTTCTATCCAAGGGATTTTGACCACTCGGATTGGCCAACCGAAACCGTTCTCTACTGCGATTGGGTTGGATCCTTAGACTTTAACTTCTTGGATTCCCCTCATATTTCATTTTAACCAGCAAAAAGTTAAACGTTTTGCTGGGGGATCTACAGCACCCAATATTTTCAACAACACAATAGCACATTTCGAGTCCGCCCCTGCCTTTTGATGATCCCATGGTGCCTTTGGGCCAATATGGTAAGCCGATTCAAGCCAGTCATTCTGTTTAGGTTTGGCTTCATGAGCTCTGGGTAAGGCCTATATCGAGCAACCTAGAGTTGGCTTGGGGGGACATCCATGGAGGAACAACTTCACCAAATCCAGAGCCCAAGTTTCCCATGTCCTGCTCAGTTGGTTCTTGCTGGCTCTCAGGGAATGAGGGGATCATCAAGTATCCTGGTCGGCTTGACCCGAAGTCCATGCCCCAAACCCGAAGCAACCCAGGCCAAACCCAAAAACCGGTAAACGCCCCAATCGAAAGCCCTTTCCGATCTTGCGGACCCATTCCCTCCGCGCCCCCGTTTCGGCTTTCGGCCCCCGGATTCGGCCGGTTTCGGCTCAGGCAGATCACGCTGGGCATGTTCCCGCCCGCGAAGTACGCGGACTTCCGCGCGGACGTGCCGGTGCTCATCGCGGTCTCCGTCTTTGTGGCGGCACGGGGCCCCGGGAGGGCGCCTGAAAGGGGGCGGGCTGGCACCCGGCCGGACAGAAGCACACCGGAAAAAGGAATGGAGGGCCATGCTTTTTGTTTCGGATTTTTGTTTGTTTGTTTTGGGAGGGGTGGGTGGCTTTTTGGCTTTTGTGCAATTGGGGGTTGATGGGTTGATCAATATTCCCGATTCCCGGCCTCCAACAAAAGCATGGCTAGCTTTCCAACATTCAGTGGAACATATTTCATCTCTTTCAGTGGTTTCCCCCAATGGTCATCCCACGTTTCTCGGACCTTTTGCTCAACCCTGGATCAAGTTCCTGGCACCGTGTGGAGATGTTTTTTTTTTGGTATTTGAGGAAAGACCGGAGGAACCCAAGCATAGCACATCTGCATTTTGGGAAACACCCGCCAAAAGCGACTTGTCGGACGGGGCAGTTTTCCCTGGCCCGTAAGTTTCAACTCCGCGGCGCCTCAAATCCCAGGCGCGGTGCAACTGGACTTAAGACGGCATGTCTCTCGAAAGCTCCACCCTTCTCAGGTCAATTCCCGTGTTCTGTGAGCCACATAGACCTATCGAATGCCCTTGCCCTGTGCGCTCTGTGAATCCCGGTTCGCCGGTTGCTTGGTGAGATCTCGCTATGGCCAGGCTCAACAAGACAGATGGTTCCCTTCGTATGCCAAGGTCGCTGGGGCAGTTGGAATTTGGAGGCCGACCCATGGACGTCATCGGTTGTCATGAGCTGCCAAAAGATTGGCCATGTGACTGGGTAGTTCGGTTCTACTGTTTGCAATGGTCTGTCGGCCTATGCAAACCTTCTCCCAGCCACCCTGCCCATGTTCCTTCTATTAAAAAATTGGAGGGGTTCCCTTTAAACTAAACACTTTTACCCACAGATACGGGCAAGCAACGCCCGAAACTGACGCATATGAGCATGGTTGGTTCTATGGTACCACCTATACAAACCTACACGTCCAGAGAGTAGAATCAGGCAGTTGCTGCGGGATGAATCGCAGCCACAAGACGATTCGCATTTGTTTCGCCCCTATTTCGTGGAAGTGGACAGAGGGGGTCCCCAAAAGCAAAACAGTATTCCCCTACTTTCAGATCGACAGCTGTCATGACTGGGAGAGCTTCCGGGTCCGTTCCGGGATAGTGCAGTTTGTATGTGTTTGTAGATGCGAGAGTTTTACATTTCCGTTCTAGCTACACCTCCCCCATTCCGGAATGAGCCAAATCTTGCAGTAATCTTGCTAAAATCACGTGACCTCCTAAGAAAGATCTCCCCGGAGAAGGGCCGTCGCTTTTCTTTGCCGGGCTGTCCCGTGTCCTTTCCTTAGGGTTTTTGATTGTGGCTCGAATGGGCCGCCTCAAAGTAAGTGTGTGTGTGTGTTTTTTCAATTAGGCAGCTCCAAAATGGGCCCCTTCAGCATGTTTCAGGAAGCCCTTCAGCAACTTCAGTACATGTTTGGAAAATGCCTGGTCCCTACCACCCAAATTATTTTCCACGCCGTTTGTCGCAAGCACCAACTCAGTACACATCATCCGGGTTTAGCCCAGGTCATCAGCATCTTCTTGGTGAACCTGTTGGCGGGGTCACGGAGTCGGAGACGGGAGCCGCGGAGGTTTGATATTCCGATGAGCAAGTTTTGTGAGGCAAAACGTGCCCATGAAGTTTCGTTTGCCTCTTCTTTTTTTTGGAGTGGGGACCCTTTTTGTGTGTGGTTTGCAAGGGGTACCGAAAGGAAAGCCGCAATTTGACTAGGCCCCTTGAACAAAGGCATACCCATGTCTTGAGGATCCGTCACTTAAGTTCTTTGCAGCTGAAATCCAGGGCCCAGTTGTGGGATTTGAGGAGATCAGAGGACCCAAGGTCAAGGCAGCACATGTTCCAGTTCAGTGCTTTGCTGGTTGCGGGGTGGCTATGTTTCCCTTGGTGGTTTTCCTCACGAGGCGCTTGAGTTGCGGCTGGTGTTTTAGGGGAAATGCCCCGTATGGACAGTGCCCAACTGGCTGGCTGCTTAAACGGGCGCGTGTGAGAATCCATACCTTTGCCACTCCTTCAAAAACGCCTGTAACAAGTTTGAGATGTTTACAGTAGACTACCCCTGGAACAGATCCAGGACATATGATGTTTCGAAATCAACGGCATGCGGGCCACTGGCCAAGTGTGGATTTCCTTCATTTTGCCTTTTGACCATCACCAACTTGGTTTGCAGGTCTGGTCAGGATACCAGGGCTTCAGGCTGAGTCCTCGAGCTTTGGGCCCAGTTCAGTGTGTCGCTTGTTGGATGGCGAATTTTGTTTCGTGCGCTGTTTCTTTGTTTTGTTTTCGTGGCTTCGGGAATCGATGAATCCCTGTTTGGTGTGTGCCAAACATGGGATCCAGAGTTCCAAATGTTCGACTCGGCTTGTTGGTACCGCATTGAGATACAGGCGATCCGCGGTACGCCGCAAGAGGGGATCTATGTGTCAAAGTTGGGGAGGGGGGATCCGGGGGTTGCGTTGCGGAAGGGTTGCTGTTTGGGGATGCCAACAGAAGCATGTCTCAGGGCCGGACAATAGGTCTCCGACATCCAGGGAACCCATATTTACCGCACTGTAGCCAAGGGAAGAACAATTGGGTGAACTCTCCAAAATAGCATTGCCTTCCTGTCCACTAACATGGAGCCCACCAGAGGGTAATAGAGGGTACCTTTTTGTTGGAAAATCGTCCAACGTCAGGTTATGTCAATGGGGTGACCTGAAGCAAGAGCGTTCAAGTTACTTAAAACGTCGTCAAACGGCCTTGGACAAATTGCGATTCAATGGTGGTCTCACTTCCTGCCTGAGTTCCTGGAGTTCATTTTCCTGAAAAGACCCATTTCGTTGTAAACATAAAGTTCCCAGTTGCCCAGTGGCGCCCTTTTCCCCCCTTTTTCTTGGGAAGGGTTGCCCCTTGATACTCAACCAGCCAAAAAACGGATGCCTTTTTTTCCCATGGAAATCCACTGGGCATCTGCGAGCTCTTCTTCTTTTTTTCGGTCTCGGGCAATCCGAGTCAGTGGGGCTTGACCTCAAATGCTGCGCAGGTGGCCCAGTTGAACCAGTCCTACCGTGACATCTTCGAGGACATGCAGGGCTTCGCGCGACTGCGGCTTGGCCCAAAAAAAGGGGGTCTGAAGGCCTGAAGGGTGCTGGTTAAGACACGGGGCCGGGGGCGGATATTTGTTCGGTGTATGTTTTTGAGGGTACCACTTTTTAAAGTGGACAGTTGTTTGGGCCCCCTTTTTGAGAAAAGCCCATTTGGGCCGCAACCCTGAAAAATTCTGAGAAAGGGTCCCGTATGTTTGCATCTTGGTGATGTAAAACTTACTTGCCCTTTTGACTTTGTTGGCTTCCTCTCCTTTTTTCGTCAAGGTTCTAAAAGCTTAGGGGGAAATCTAAGGAGCCCTTTTGGCAAGGGTCCTCACTCTTTCGACATTATTTGACTGGCAATTTGGCGAAGGCAAGTGGGCTACCAGCGAAACCCGAAGCGGGGCTAGACTGGTATGGATATCGGGCCCTTCCCCGAATGAAAACGTGGCTTTGGATATGCTCTTTCAATAGGCGATTGTGTCAACGTAGTAGGCCAAGCGACAAAAATAAATTCGGGCGCGTCCATTCAAGAAGTGAGTATGGGGGGACGAAGCTAGTGCATAACCACGACAAACCAAACATAACAGCAACAGAGACAGACTAACAGCCACAATGCCTAAACCCTAAACCCTAAACCACAAGAACCAATGGGGGACGAGGAGAGGAGTGAACATGGCCATCCACGAGTCTGCAGACTCGTTTGCAGACGCTGCAAGCTGGTTCTTGCCTGCGATGCAAAGCCCTCAAGCTTTCGATCTCTTGGGCTTTTTTTTTCTGGGGAAGCCACTTTGGGGATGGTTTCTAGGGTCGGCAAATTGGTACTTGTTGCATGTGTCAAAACAGGGGGATCCCAAGAATACTGGTTTTCCTCTTGGTTTCCGAACTGTTTTGCTTTTTACACCCAGCCTCAAAAAGCAAGGATCCTCGGAAAGCACACACACACATACCGAATGGAAGTTCCCGTCCATCTCCATCCAGCACTTTGGCTCTCCTAGGAATCGTGCGGGCGTCACCGCCGACATCATCGAGCAGGAGCGGATCCCGGCACGTCGATACCCTGGGATGATGGTCAGGGCTTCGTCTCAAAATCTGGAAGCCCCAAACGAATTTGGCAATTTGTTGGCCACATTGCGTGGGAGTTTCGGTGGCTAGATTTGCCACCTTTGCCACGCGTTGCCCATTTGGAACTGCCCTCCTGGTTCAAACAATCGGGCTGTGGACGATACGGACATACGAACTAGACGCTTCTAAGTTTTGCCCGCGTTGGAGCGCCCTTAATCTATTCGGGGGCTTGAGGCTTCTTTTCTGGGGAGCCCGCGGGACGCTGCAAAATTGGGGAGGTTACATCAGGGTCAACAGCGGTTGTGGGGCCCCCGGGGTAAGGCGCCATGCCAAGTGAGACAGGGTACCGTGAGAATAACAAAGGATGGTTCAATCGGCCCCCCAAAAACTATTCATTGCTTGGGACAGTTCCCCACATTCTGGAGACGTTTCTACTGGTTATAAATACAAATTGGAGTGTCTTGGAATAAGGGATGTCGGTTTAAACCACCCCCAAAGGGGTACCCGCCAAAAAAGGACTGCCCATAGTGGCAACCAACTTTTATGCTTTGGAATTCCTGGACTTCCAGTGCATTTCCAAACGAAAGCGCACGCTGGAGGATAGTTAGCCCCTTTCTTCGAAGGTCCTTCCTTGCTCTCGGAAATGCCTCAGAATGAGGTGCTTTGGGTAAAGGGGCAGCCCGGGACTACGGTGAGCTCTCATTGCTTGTTGCTTGGGGTTTCCTTGGTTGGTGAAGCAATTCCCAGATGTGCCCCCATTTTTCTATCCTGAAACCTCCAACCTACAATTTCCACCAGCAGAACCTGCGCGTTCAGATTTTCTTGGGTACGAACACTCCACGAATGCTCTTCAAGCATTCTCCAGCTTGGCAGGTTTTGTGATTGGTTTCCCGGATCCCCCCCCCGTTCGATAGGAAGCTCGCGTGGGTTGGCTGCAAAAAGACCCAAACGAAACATCGTAGGATATTGGTTTTGGGTGGTCGTTTGGGTTTGATTGAAGGTCGAAGGTTATCGTTTCTGGGGCCCTACCAGTTTGTTGTAGCCTTGTTAGGCAGTAATGCTGCCTCAGCATAGGGACCTCCCGACAAAAAAAAAAACGTAGAAAGTTGTTGTCCGTTGGTCCCCCTTTTAGACAAACCCCAAAACCAACCCCAAAAAGCCACACCACAAACACAACTCCCTGCCCAAAGGGTTCGAGAGACACTTTTTCGGGTGGTAAAAACCAGTTGCTTGAAACCAACAAGTGCTGTGGCCAAGTGACCCACAATGATCTTGGGGTCATGGGACGGGCAGTGCAAAGGCTGCCCATGGAACCACCATGAGCCACAATGACTAATTACCACTTATTGTACATTTCAGGGTAGGCTAAATCTGAAACATACTGTTTGTTTGTTTGTTTGTTTGTTTGTTTGTTTGTTTGTTTGTTTGTTTGTTTGTTCGTTGGTTACCCCCCCCCCCCCTGGCACCCCTTTTTTTGGGCCCAAGCTTCTTCAATGAGCTTCCCTTCATTTGCGGTTTCGGTTGGTTTGGGAGTTGACCCCCAATTCCTTTTGAACCTCAGCTAGCCCCTAACCTGCAAACCACCGGGGGGGCGGCTCCAAACCAACTCGGGGGACGCTGATGAAACCCTCGCGCGCAAATTGTTCTGGATTTGCGGTTTGGGATTGGAACGTGTCCCTGAGTATATGGGTTTCCCCCTCCGTTTCACCACCAAGCCGGGCAAACCCCCCTTCAAGAAGGACCCAAGTTGCTACCCTGGCGCCTTTCTTTTGGCCTTGGGCCGAAAAAAATAATAACAATAATAAGAACACAATTTTAAAAATAAAACACCTACAAAAAAAACAAGTCAAATGGTAACTTAAATGGTAAACATCAAAAAGGCAAACAAGCCTCCAGGTGAGCCGGAAGCGGTGGTCCAAGTTCTTGTCCCACCTCCGCTTCGATGAGCCCCTGGAGTTCAACGAGGGCGACGTGCCGCGCTGAGCAAAGGGATGGGAGTTCCAAGCGACGAGTTCTGAGACGTGAGGCGGCCGGGAGAGGCGAAGTCCCCTAGAGTTCGCGAGCAAAAGGGCCAAAAGGAAGAAATGCCCCGTATAAATTTAAAATTTAGCAAGTCTAGGTTTGTGCAGTGCCCTTTGACCCTTTTGGGGGAGGAATCCCCTACTAAAAACGACTGAAAAAAGGGTACCCTTAGTCTACCCTCTCCACTGGAGGACCTAGAAGTAAACCAGAAAGGGGGTCCGAGGCCTCAAAAGGGTAACCAGTTCTGAGTCCCAAGCCCTACAAATTTGCAAGCAAACCGCAAAGGGGTTTTCCTTTTTGGACCCCAACGACTCCTCTACAAACGAGGGTTTTGCTGGTTAGATCTAAAATTGCAGGGGAGTTCAGGATCGAGTCCACCTATCCGGGAGGTAGAAGGGGCGACAACGAAGGCCCCTTTATATGGTGTGTCTTTCTTTTTCCCTGTCATGTTTTTTTTGGGGGGAGCCGGGGGGGGGGGGGGGGGGTGAAGGGGTGAATTCCCTTTTTTCAAGGACCCCAAAACGGGGACCCTCCAGAAAGACGCACCTTCACGTTTTGGAAACCTTGGTAGAAGTTGTAGACATCCTTTTCCCGGGTTTCAACTTCGGTTCCCATAACTGCAGCGTGGTGACTGTTCCCTGGGCTGACCCGTATGCTTCCAGCACCGAGCCAGTCCGAAGCCTTCGAAGGCGTTTTGGGCTTTAGCGAAGTGACATCTTGCAACATGTTTCCTTTGGGGCCAGCCCAGACTGAAAACAAATAGACGCAAGTCCTTGACGTCAGCGTTTTGCCCTTTGACCATCGCTTGAGCTTTTTATGACTGTAGAACAACTGCAGAGCGATGCAGGACCCGGTTCGCAGGGAGAAGAACACCGTGAGGGAGTTTGTGTTTTTGTCCAACACCCTGCATGTAACTTCCTGCAACTCCAAAAAGTGGGTTCTCCCCATAACGGCCACGGCTTCGAGCTTCGAGCTTCGAGGTGGGCGTGGCTGGCGGCATGCAAGTTCTGGAGCCAGCCAATGCCAATATGGTCACGGAGGCCGGGCGCCCCAAGACTTTTTTTGTGTGTGTGTGTGTTTTTGTTCCTCACTTGCCCAAAGCGAATCGACCTTTTTGGGCTTTCAGCCTCCTCATGTTGCTCCGTATTGGTCCATGTCTGGTGGCACCAACAGGTGAGCGCCTTTCTTATTTCTGGGTCCAAGCTGGTTGCAACTGAGTTTTCCCCAGTCGGTCAGTGGGCTCTTGTACCATGCCACTTTCGTCAGGGGGATTTGGCTGGGGATGGGTGAAATCACAGAAAGTAGTGAACCCCAAAAGGACATTGGGAACATCTCACATGCTTGATTCGGGCTGAACGTTGAACAGCTCTTCAAGTGGTACCCCATTTCCCGTTTGGTTCCGTGGGATCCCGCAAATGGAAGCAATTTTATGATACCTTTTAGTTTGGAAAGCAAAACCGGGTGTGGCATGGTTTGGTTTGCGTCTACTCGCCGCGACGCAACAAGATGCTTAGTTTCGGGAAAAGTCTGAAACGTTTGATCGGTGTGTGGATTCACGCAGGAAAAATCGGCACACCGGACTTTTCTTTTTGTCACCAGACACACCCGTTGCAGTTAATGCGGGTGATGCAAAAATCGGACTTCCTCCACTTGGGGCCCTAGTCCTGGTTTGTTGTTTTAGTTGACTCCGTGCTGCCTGGGGCCAAGGCGAGGTCTTTCGTTTATGTGTTGCATGTGATCTTGACTGCTATTGGGTTGGATCTTTAGACTTGTTTTTTTTTGGGGGGGGAAATCAAGTGGTTTTCCACTAAACCCACAACAAGTTAAACTTTTTGCAGAGGGGTCAACAGCAACCATGTGATTTGAATGTAACTTGCATTTATGCGATACTTATTACAAATGGACCAGAACCGAGCATGCGGCGTGATGTGTTTGAGCTTGCTTAGGGGGACGAGCTGTAGAGATGTGGATGATGCTTAAAACAGGAGCCAAAGCCCCCCCCTTCTGGGGGAGAAGTCTTCGATTCTTTGGCGACATGCTTCTAGGAACTGCTTTGCGCCGGAAAGAATGACAGGATTTCCCTCCATTTTTCTTTGGACCTCCAAGAGCTTAGTTTCAATGGAACCCACCTGTGAACGGCAGCTTGTGAAGGGGGAATCCAGTGACCCTAGGTCGCCCAGTAGTGCCCTTTTGCCCCTTTTTTGGGGTTTTGGGGGAGGGTTCCCCTACGAAAATAGGCCACAGGAAAAGTTGTCCATGGACCCCAATCGGACCCCCGAATTCGCGGCCAGGACAGCATCAAGCGCTACGGGGGCCCCACTGCGCCCTCTGCCCCGTGGCCCCAGGAGCGGGCATTCGTTGCACCAGCGTCAGAATTCCCTGGAGAGAATGGAATTCCATCCCATCTTGCTTTTTTAAAGGGAATCTGAAATAAAATAAGCATATCTATCTTTAGATAGATTCTCTGGCTGGGTTGGAAGGCTGCCTTCCAGTTGCTGAAGTGAAGATGTTGCATCTTCCCTTGTTGGCTTTAAAGGGAATCGATTTCACTACTGGACATATGCTGAATGTGTGTCCAGGCTTAAGCAAATGGAATTGTACTTCGCCAAACAGTCACCCTTTCAGGTGATTTTTTTTGAGTGCGAGCGCCAGATTTGCACCTCCATCCAGCAGCTCGCTCCCTTTGTGAGACTTGGGAAAACCAAGGGGTCCCCCGGTTTCTAACCTTTGGATACTGTGGATGGACGAAGTCCATTTCACACCTAAGAAACCACGGGATTTACATTGGGATCATCATTCCAGGGTTGCTTAGGTGGTGCGAAATGGAAGAAGCCGAGCCTGAAATGACCAGTCGAGTTGGGCTCGACCTATTTTCGGGTCTTGGAGCTGAGTGGCAAGACTTGGGACTGGCCAAGCAGCGAGCATGTTGACCCTAGATGAACCAACTGCGTTGTATTTCCTATGGCGTGTTCCCCTGAAAAAGCGGTCTGAACCCCCACAAATTTCACCAGGGACAGCCCCCCCTTCCAGGGCCAACGATTCCTTTCCAAACCACTTCCTTCCCAGGACACGGACGAGGCCAACGACGACGACCGCTTCCAACGCCTCGAGAAGCTCATCGTGCGGGCCACCCGGAAGAAGGCGCGAGCCGGAGAAGTTCTGCCCGCATGCGGGCTCGCGGCATCCAAGACGGGCTGTTGAAACGCCTGGCTTGTTCTAGGTGTTTCCTGAGCTAGGTGCCCTTTCTCACCCATTTCTTTTTTTGGTTGGGAGGGTTCCCCTACTAAAATATACAAGAAAGTCAACAACAACGGGTAGTTACCCTTATTCTAACCGCTCTACTGGAGGACCTAGTGTTGGTTCTTGGACAGGGCTGTGGGAAATGGAATCCACTTCTGTGATACAACAATAAGGGCTTCCCAAAGAAAAACCCACTACATAACGGGGGAGATTCCCTTGTATCACAGAAGTGGGAATAAACCCCTTGATTCCACAACCCTGTTCTTGGAGGGTTGTAAGCGGTAGGCCAAAAAGGGCGAAACTATCCCTCCAGTCCACCTGAAATGTTGGGGTGAGGGGTGAGGGTTGACTGCACCAACCCTTGGCCTATAGTAGGCTTGTGGATGGCCTCCTCCATTTTTGTGCCAGGGCTTCACCCAATGACAACTACTACAAAACCTTGCAGAGTGGGGTTCGCTTTCCAAACATTTTGTTTAGATGTCCGGTGGTCGGCCGAGTCCCACTCCCTTTTTGGAAACCACTTCTTCCGGGTTTGTGTTTTTGAGGGTGCTCGTCCTTCGGGCGGCTTAAAGAGCGCCGCCATTTTCCTGGGGGTGCCCTCTGACACGTACCCCTGGAAGGTGGGCAGGGCCAATTTGGGCGGAGTTCTTGGGGTGAGGTGGTTAGCCGTTTATTTGGTTTGGTCAGGTGTCCGTTTGACCCGCTAAACGTGAGTCACTAGCAGGGGATCTGAAAACGGACAGCCCAGAACAGGAAATCCAAGCTCCACGTCGCAAGGCCTCGCTCTCAACCCGTGAAGTGGGCCAGGAAGCGAAGCCCATATTGTGAGAGGGGGGGCGAACCTGCTTTTCTGGTTCATTTTAGGCCGCCACTTTTGTCTTCCCACTTAGACATGCAAGTCCTTGAAGATCCAAACTCTTTCTTCAGGTGCTGGAATTGTTGCAAACAAAAAACAACCCCACGACCCCCACTCCGCCCTCCACTCCCTCCCCCTCACCTTCCTGCTCACCCCTCACCTCACCTCTTGCCTTCCACTCCCACCTGACCCCCGCCCCAAGCCCCCGCAGACCTCCAGCGTAGCCGGCATCTCCCGCAGCCCTCCCGACATGCCGCCAGGGCGGCAGCAAGGGCCACAAGGGCGGCAGCTCCACCATGGACGCCTCGGACCTGGGGGAATCGGAGCAGGGCTCCGACTTCAACAAGTCATCCTCCACCTGAGCAATCGCGCGAGCCTCGCCCGCAAGAATTCGTCCCCCTGAAAAAATGGAGTTTTTTGGGGAGGAGGGGGGTGGCCCCTGAAATTCCAGTTTTGGTTCCATTTTCTCTATTCCAGCTATGGTTCCATTTTCTCTTTGATGGGCAAGACTCGATAAATGGAATTGGGGCCCCCCCACCCCCTCCCCCTGAAGGGGATCGGCAATCCCTCGCCGACCGGAGGTCTTTTGGCAAGGTACTGGGTCTCTGGCAGCATTTTGTCGAGAAGTGGTCTATGCACAATTTGCATAGGTCCAAGAAAACACAAAAACTCTGCCTTTTCCAACACGGTGAGTTCCACGGTAACCTCTTAGTTCCTGTGAGTGCTGTTTGGCATAGATCACTCCCAGAGAAGTTCTCTTTTTCCAGGGTTGGTCTGAGAATCAAAACACCCGACAGAAGACAAAGACGTCGAAGGCACTTGAGGGCCGTCCTAAAACCCCAGTCTTCGGTTTTAATCATCGCCGAACAGGGAGAAGTAAAAGTTGTCAAAAGCTGTGCGCGCGCAAGGAGCGCGCAAGTGCGGCCCAAGGGACGCGCAAGGTTACAGTTTTGAAGGGTTTCATGTACTGATGTTGCCTAGCTTCAGGAAAGGAGGTGATATTTTCTTGCTGTACTTGTGCCTTTCGAATCAGTCAGACGCCAAACGAAGCCAAAGCTTCTGCGGTCATGACTTCAACAATCAGCAATTGACACGACAAAATCCGCGCAAGCCGCGCGCAAGCCGCGCGCAAGTTGCGCGCAAGCACGAGAAGCCCCAGCAAGACATCTAGCCATGCTGTCTCGGATGTCCTTAGCGGCGCGGTTCAAGCAATGGATAGGCACCAACAACATGCACTTTCTTTCTTTCAGGCTGTGTCCAAGCTGTGTGGCAGAGCCTGCTGTTCTTTCTGTTGGGTCAAGGGTCTGTTGCTGGCATTGAAATGCCGGGAGCGACCTCAGCGGGAAAAGTCTTTGTGGGTTGCTGTGTGAACGACAAACACACTGCTTAGAAAAGCTTGCGCGCAATCCACACGAAAACTTCGCAAACCGAGGTCAACGAAAACGAGTTTCTGCGCCACTGCGCGCGCGCACGTACGCGCAAGTGCCGCGCAAGCGCGGCCCAAGGGCCCAATCGCGGGCAAAGGAATATAGGACAACCCCCACTTGTTCAAAATTGAGCCATTGACATCGAAAGCGTGTTTGTTGGCTTCTTGGGGTGCTGCTGGTTTTGATTCCTGCTTGCCTTTTGTAAAGCGGTGCATGTTTGTGGCTGTGTGTTGTTCTAGAGTCAGCGTCAGGTTATACTTGGCATTGGTTGACCTGAGTTGACTGGCCACAACACGTTTTTTGCACCTGGCCTTTTACATGAAGAAATCGACAAGTTTGAAGTGTGGAAACTGAAAAGGTAGCTATTTGACGTTATTTGACACTCGCACGCAAACACGCGCTTGCAATTTTGTGTAGGTGTTCGGCACGCTTCTGAGGGTGATTCTGAAGCCCATGCCGCAACCTTGTGGCTTGTGCTTCTGAAACTGGAGGCTGCAGGCACTCGCTGAGAATATGTGTAAAGGAAGTCTTGGGCTGCCGGAAGCCGCTTAGACCAAAACCACCGATGGATGACCCAAGACCTCGGGATAAACCAACGGGTGCAAATAGCAAACAAACGTCCAGAAGCGCACGTGGCAAAAGAACCACCGCGCTTTCGCGTTGTTGTGTACTTTTGTTTTGCTTTTAAAGCATTGTTCGTAGCAGATTGGAAGGAGGTTCTTTTCCCAAGGGCTCTTGCAAACATTGCGGACATGGAGCGGCTGCATTCTGGGGCCTCGGATGTGATTTGATAGGTTGGTTTCCAGTTAATCTGGGCACTAGTCAGAGGAACCCCCCTCAAATAAATCATTCCCTGAAACTAACAGGGGGACCATCCCTGTTTGCTACGGTCAATTTGAACTTATCTGAAACTGAACATATGATTGCATCTTGTCTTGGGAAGTGGAATCTGAACATATGGTTTTGGTGTGGTTTCACTCCGGTACATTTTTATCTCCATCCCGTTCCTTTGGAGACCAGTTCGTGGGATAACCTTCGGGGAGTGAGAAAACCGTTCCATGGCTGACCCGATGGTTTGAGTGCCAAAATGGGTATACCAATTGGTTGCAGCCGGTCTGTCGGATTTAGTTGGGGATCACACACTTAGCCACCGGGCCAGCAAGAAAGCTGAGCAGGGGCCTTTGCAAGCATGTTGGTAAGCAAAATCGGGGACGTGCACGATCAAGCATCATCCTTGTGCCAAATGATTGTGCTTGCCCTTGTTGTATTTGTGTCTCACCAAGGTCACGGTTTTCGGATTCAATTCGGACCCCAATGTTGAAGACCCCGATTTGCCAGACGATGGTGGCAATGAATCTATGGGGGGTGTCTGCAAGGTCCCCAGCTTGTCTACGGTGAATCCTACCACCGAGGCTAGCTGTGCGGGGCAAAAGCGCTCTGTTTTGCTTTGGGCAGTTCTGCAAGGCGCCAAGATCTCGCAGCCTCGAAAGGCATCTTCTTTTTCAGTGTCCAGGCTTAAACGCAAATTCCCTGTGAGCTGGGAACATGGATGTGTGTTCTTTTGAGGATACTAGTTGTGGTTTTGGTTTTACAGCGAAACCAATGGAATAATTGCGGCTTCGATTGTTTAACACGCACAAAGAGTGATGTTTGTCGAAGCGTTTGGTTGCTCAAGTTGGCTGAACGCCTTTCTGCGTCTAGCTCCCAATTGAGGGGGAGGCATCGCTTCGGCATGTGGATTTGAAGTTTGTGGGTAGCCGTCTTCATGGTCAAAGTGAACACGAGTAGCCTGGCCACGTTGCCATGGAACTTGGCGTTTCGGGGTTCTGGAAGGCGACTGTCCTTTAAAATGGGCCCTGAGGGTTCCATGGGAACGATAGGTAAGGTCTTCAAAGGGCCAGTCATTTGAGCAGACCGCGTCCGTGAAATGTTCTTCTTTGCCATTGGCTAAGTCACCCCAATGCACCATTTGCTTGCGTGACACCAGCCCGCTGTCTTGAAACCCTATTATTCTGAGTTCAGAACAAAAGTGCCCCGTTTTATTTTGTGGCGAGCTGGGGTAGAACAAACTCATTAAGGTTCTTTCCTTTGGGATCCCTGGCTCGTTTTGGTTCATTGTCCAATCCCTGGTTTTGGAATTGTAGAAGCTGTAAAATACATCATTTTACTGGCCGAGATGAAAAAAACAAAACAAAAGAACAACGAACAACAAATCCCACATAAATCCGCATCGCACCCATTGTAGAATTTGCAGATTGCTTTCAGAGACTTGGCGCCGGTTTCAGAGTTTCAGATGCAGCACCCGAGGGTTGGAGCGGGCCGGGGCCGGGTCAACAACCCCCCTCACCGCTCCTCCCCCCACAAATGTGGCCCTGTGCTGGCAAGGCCAGTCTGGAGGGGAAGACGATCTTTCACTCGGTGATGACTATATTCATGGCTGCCCCCCCTTGGTCATCCCCCCAAAAGCTGAAGCCAACAACTTGGCATTTCCGCCCCTGAACATCACCCCTCCAAGAAAAGGAAACTCGCCTCCAGCTGGGCCAAACCCCCACAAGGGGTAATAATTGCCGGGTAATATAGCAGCTGGGCCAAACCCCCACAAGGGGTAATAATTGCCGGGTAATATAGGGAACCCTTGTTGAGATTTCTTTTTGCCTGGGGGTGTTCCACCTAAAGATAGCTATTTCCAAAGAGATGTTCCCTTTTCCCATTGTTCGGGACAATCGGCAACTGGGGGCGCGTTGCTTTTGTTTAGTTGTACCTGGGTATGAACACATGTTATGACACATCGATGGTGATGGACATGCTTTATTATATGTACATACATGCATGTGGCGACGTCTTTACATATCATGGAGCGTGGCATTTCAGGCTTGCAGCCTCTTTTTGCAGCTTCAATCCCAACACAAGGGCTCACGAAACACGATACAGTGTACAAACTGACAGGTAGACGACACTAGGAGCTTCAAGTGGCATGAAAACAGCTTGTACACATGTATATACAGGGCTCCTGAAAAGATTCATTTTGCCCATTTGAAACATGTTTTTCCACCAATATAAAGGGAGACCACCATTTACAAGGCAATGTTTAGGTGTATAATGTAAGGATCCCTGATGTATATAATTATATACATACATTATCATGCACACCGAGTTTCCCCTACCCTGCGTCCCTACGGGCGAGATCCTGCGGCAAACGCTGCGGTGCGGGGCAATCCCCAGCGAAGCTGTGGGCTTGACATCTGGCAAGAAATGGCAGCGCGTTTGGAAGGCCGGGAGGCCAACCTCCTGTCCCGACCATAGGTGCAGACGATTCGATTTTTTTGTTTTTTTGGGTCGGCCATTTTGATACCAGGCGTTGATTGTGACTCACCTGTGCTGCATTATTTTTGGAATGATTATATTTATATATATATATATACCAACACTTTGAGGGTCAACAAATATGGACCAGAACCAAGAATTGTGGTGGTCGAGGGCCGAAACAAGGTACTTTGTTTGCTTAGGCAGCTTTGTGGGGTTTTTGTGCATTGGTCATATGTGATCATTGATTGGCAGAAAGGTGGAGGAGGGCATGGAGACGGAGTGGCAATCACTTACCTCTATGTACCCTTGCATGTCCTGCTAATATGGCATATGGCTTAAAATTGGGAGGCCCAAGGACCACGTCAAATAGGCACTGGCCATTGTCCATTTCGGCAATCTCGAGGCCTCCAATTGTGTCGTCTAGGCCTCCAATTGTGTCGACAGCTTTGCGGGGCCCAGTCGTACCATAACTTATGGCCCCTTTTGGTGAGATCCCCACTCACCGCGGTGGTTCCAGCATCGACTTTGTAGCTGTTTGGAGTCTAGATGGATTTATGACATAACCATAGTTGTGTTTCCCACAAGTCGACTTTTTTTTGCCCACCCAGAAACGGATTCTCGTTTCGTAC